CCTCCATGTTTTGTCTTTCCTCACAACTCTGGCCACTGAGATCTCACCTGCATTTCCAGTCTTGCCTCATTCTAATGACAGATCTTAACTCAATCAGAAGCAACTTCAAGAACTGAGAGCAGTTATGAGCACAACATATGACATACCGAGCAAGAATTATGGTCATACATTTATATATTCTCACTCCTCCCATGATCCCTACAAATTTGATGTTATTTTTCCCAAATTCAAATGAAAGGAAATCATTTCTCAACTATCCATTATGTTTATTTTGAGAACTTTGAAAAAATAGCAAAGGGACAAACAATCTCAGGAGGCAAATTTGGTATCTCCAATTGTCCCAGAGAAGCAGTATTTTAAAACAATGCTGAAAACTGGGATATATTTCAAACAACCATGTGTGTGGATGGATGTCCATAGTAGAGTCTTTAAGGAGGTGGGGGAAGGTTACCTTCAAATACTAGTTTGTAGATTTAATTTATTTTTAATCAATAAGATATTACAAAGTTTGCAATTTAGTAGTACAGGATGCTGGGTAGAGGGGAGAAAGTTGAGGGGATAATGGGGGACATCTAGAATACTATCAACAATAAAAACTAAATTTAAAAGGGAGAGAAGGAAGCATTTTCCTCTTTATAATTTCCCAAACTGCCTTTGGCTCTCCGCTGCAGAATGATGAACTGTGGCGGCTACCTACTGTGCTTGTTATGCACCCGGAGGGTTCTATTCCACAGAAACAGGATGGTTCCTGACCCAGAGTCTCCTGTTCTTCTGTGGTGACTGCAGACCAGTGTGAGTGCCTGACCTTCATTCACTGGTAACCGGGAGTCAGTATTCATGAAACGTGGTGCGTGCAGCCGCAGCGGTTTCCTGCAGTGACAGTGAGAGCACATCCAGCTGTGTCTGGCTGGTTTTAGGTCACCTTGCTGACCCACTTCATGTTCTCAGGAGCATGAACACCTCATTATGTAGGGGTAGTTGGAACCGATCTTTTTTTCTGTCAGACCAGAGATGATTAGCCAGGTTCAATAATGGAGTGTAAGACACGAGCAGACCCAAGAGAAGGTCCTCTTGGTGAGTAAAAGATCACGGAAGCGCGTGTCTGTTTCCGTCTGCAGTCATTCTACGTTGTTATGTGTGAGAAGAAGCACTGTGAGTGCAGGTCACTCTGCACGTCGCTGCAGTGGGGTGCTTGGTTTTTGCATTGGCCTAGAGGAGGGTTGTCTGTGGAAGTCTCAGCATCAATAAGAAAGGTCATGGAGGGCTCGCTGGTTTCACTCTCACCTGATGCCAAGGTAATCACTAGGAGTGCCACTGTCTGTGGGAAGAGGTATCACGTTTCCTTACTGGCCATCTTTTCAGTCCTCTCCTACCATCTATGTATTTACTTCACTTACAGTTTGCATTCAGTCTATTTTACATGAGTTTCTGGTAGTGGTAAGGAGATCACATACTTTGCAGTCTTCCCCCGGTCTTCCCAGTGCCCACCTGACATTCATAGTATATGGCTAGAGGCCCGGGGCATGAAATTCGTGCATGGGGATGTGGGGGAGTTTGTCCTTCAGCCCAGTCTGCACCCTCTCCAATCTAGGACCTCTCGAGGAATGTCCCATTGCCCTCTCACAATCCAGGACTGCTGGCTCCCAACTGCTCGCCTGCCTGCCTTCCTGATTGCCCCTATTAATTCATCTTATTAATTCATCTGATCGGAGGCACTTCTGCCTGATCACCCCCTAACCACTCCCCTGACAGCCTGATTGATGTCTATCTGCTCCCCTGCCAGCCTGTTTGTCCCCAACTTCCCTCCTCTGCCAGCCTGGCCACCCCTAACTGCCCTCCCCTGCAGGTCTGATCACACACAACTGCCCTTCCTTGAAGGCCTAGTCCCTTCCAACTGCCATCCCTGCTGGCCATCTTGTCTCCACATGGGGGCAGGATCTTTGACCACATGGGGGCAGCCATATTGTGTGTTGGAGTGATGGTCAATCTGCATATTACTCTTTTATTAGATAGGATAGAGGCCTGGTACATGGGTGGGGGCTGGCTGGTTTGCCCTGAAGGGTGTCCCTGATCAGGTTGGTGGTTCCCTTGAGGAGTGGGGCAGCCTGGGCGAGGGGCCTGTGGTGATTTGCAGGCCAGCCATGCCCCTCCCCCCACCCTCAGCGACCCAAGCAGAGACCCTGGTATCTGGAATTTATTTACCTTTTACAATTGAAATTTTGTAGCCTGGAGTGGAGCCAAGCCTCCTGCTAGCTCTGTGGCTGCTGCCATTTCTGTTTGGATTTGTTTACCTTCTATAATAGGAACTTTGTATCCTTGGGTAGAGGCTTAGGCCGACAAGGGCAGGCGGAAAGCTTGGCTTCTTCCCTTGCCTGGGAATGCCAAGCCTCCCTCCTGCTCTCTGTGGCTGTAGCCATCTTAGTTGGGGTTTATTTGCATACTTGCTCTGATTGGCTGGTGGGCGTGGCTTGTTGGTATAGCAGAGGCACGGTCAATTTGCATATTATTCTTTTATTGGGTAGGATTATATTCCCCATGCTGCACTTGACCTGTAACTACCATCTTGTCCTTAATCCCTTCGCCATCTTTTATGCAGCCCCCAAGCCCTCCTCTCTGGCAGCCTGGAGTCTGTTGTGTCACTTCTTGATGATGTTAGAGAAGGTGTCTTGATTAACAAATAACAATGACATTAAGAATGGTCAACTCAAGGTGACCCATAATCATGATGACATTGACCTGTTTGTTGGCCATGAAACAAACTGTCACCATAAACGGTGGGTCTCATAGCTCAACTGATATTTTACAATTAAAAAGAATTGCTCACTTCTCACTCATATGGAAAAATAGCTTTCCATGCTAAATGACATAAAAAGAGAACTTTGAGAAAATCGAAATTCTTTTTAAAAATTATTTATTTTTGAAAGTATTACAGATATCCTCTTAATCTCCCATTGTCCTCTCCCAGCCCCCCCACCCTCAACCCAGGCCTTCAACCCCCTATTGTCTGTGTCCATTGGTGATGCTTATATGCACACAAGTTCTTTAGTTGATCCCTTACTTGCACCTCCTCCCCCACCCCCATCCTCCCCTGCTTTCCCTCTGAGGCTTGACAATTTATTTGATGCTTCTATGTCTCCAGATCTATTTATGTTTATGCTATTCATTATATTCCATGAATTCATTTTTTATTATTCTAGTTCATTTGTTTTAAAGGCTAAGGTATAAATCTGGTATTTTTTTAGAACATGCTATTTTCTGATTATGTACTTAAAACTTACGTATTTTATGGTCTTTCCAGTGGTATATAAATGACAGGATTTATTATTGATGGTTTTCCCTTGACTCATAAATGTTGTTGCCAGTAGCTTGGCACCCACGAGTAACCTAGCAACAAGTCAGCTCTCCAGCAAACAACGTGTTGCAAATAAGAGAGTTCAAATTCAGGATATTGGTGCATGTGTATCCTCAATCAAGTGCGGGCGGGGGGGGGGGTGTCTAATGGGGGGCTGCGTGGCAGTGGGAGTTGAGTGAGTTTCCTTGTGAATAGCACTCTGGCAGCCTTCAGACAGCAGGGCGCCTGTCTCAGAGCACACCTCTGCCAGGTAACTGAGGGAGCAGGTGAGACGTGAGCCAGGCTCGCTGCCCAGTGCGGGGGTTTGCCCGGTGCCGTTTCCGCTGTAGCCTTCTGCTTTCCGAGTAAACGCTACTGTATTTTCAAGGCATTGTGCTTACAGTTTTGCACCTTCGGGGATCGACTTATTGAAAATATTACAAAATATTCCTCCTCATAGTTGTTTCCCATGTGAAGATGTTGGCATGTTTAATGTTTGTTTCCTTTAGTGGAATCAGCTTCTGGACGGCTGTGTATGTTCTCTGAGAGGCCACTCCCTGCCTGGGCTGCAAGGCCACATGGAAAGGGTCAGGCGCGGGGAAGCCGTGGCTTCTGGGCCATCACTGGCAGGACCAGTGCCCCTGGGTAGGGTGTGCTGCTGCAACACGTGCTGGCTGTGCCCTGGGCCCGGGACCCCTCTCAGGCCCACAGGCAGCTGCTGCGCTTCCAGAACTCCGAGTCCCAGGAGCCTGAGACAGGGACTGCACGGGGGAGTGCCATGAACGTAGGGCTGTGCACTGGAAACAAGTCATAGGACGTCAGCCAGGAAGCACCGCTCTCTGCTGACCATTCCCCCTCCCCCAGAAATGCTGGTTTTAAATCTAACCTAAATGGCTCTGATTGGCTGCTGTAGGCCCCACTGGGATGGCAGCGCAAGTGCCTTCTCCTCCCGGGGACTGCCAGGCGGCTCTCACCTGGCAAAGCGGAGCATAACCCCCGGAGACCCAGAGGGAGGCCAGTCCCCAAGGTCACCTGACGGTCTGTATGGGAAAGCCACCTGCCCACCCGCCCACGTTATGTGGATTGAAGCGACTTGCTTACCCGTGAAAGACATGCCTTGCATGAGCAACAGCGACGCCTGGCTCACGTCCCCGAAGGCAGCTCGCAGCTGCGGGCACACCTTTTGTCCCCAGAATGTGGGGACGGCATCTCAGCCAGGTGCTCAAGATGCAGGCAGCTTTGGTGGCAGCTTCCCGTTCACTTCTCCCAGCCGGTGTGCCTGGGGGGAGGGGGCACTGCATAGTGTAGCAACGTGCGGTCTTTATTGGGAGGTTAGTTCCCAGGGGGCAGGAATGATGTGATTTGTGATTTTGGCTGTATTTACTATCAGGCCTTATAAACAGTCCGAGAGCAGCACATGAGCCGTCTTCTCTCATTAATGTTTGTAGGCATGTCAGACATTCCTGAACCACCACCGAGACTGCATGTCAGTGCCAGACCACAGAACGTAGTTAAAAAGGCATACACGTCCCAAATCGTGAAAAGCAGTAAAACCCTGAATGACAGGTGCCTTTGGAAAGGAAGTGGCACTTAGAGGTCCAGGCGGATGCACCCGGGACCGGAAACCCATGCTGGTGGTGACCTGATCCCAGGAGCTGTTGTCTTGCAGGTGTGGCTGCAGAAGTACGGCTACCTGCCCCCGACGGAGCCGCGGCTGGCGGTGCTGCGCTCGGCCGAGGCCATGCAGTCGGCGCTGGCGGCCATGCAGCAGTTCTACGGCATCAACATGACAGGCAAGGTGGACCGGAGCACCATCGAGTAAGTCCCGCGCTCGCCCTCGGGCCGAGCCAGACCGCCCCTGCGGAGAACCCGAGCGACCCCGCAGCCTCCAACGGGCTCGCTGGTTCGGGAGCTGAACCCCTTTAAACTCAGTCCTGTGAGATGTCAGAGTTGCTCAGCTGATGTTAGCGACTCATTTTCAAAAAGGGAAAGCGATTGACAGGTGGGAGGGTCGGGTGGGCCCAGCGGCAGCCAGGACAAGAGGGGTGTCAGCCACCTGTGGGCAGGCGGGCGGCTGGGGGGCAGAGGGGCACATGAAATGGACCAAACTAGAACACTGACCCCACGGGAGAGGGGCAGCTGTCCAAATGAGGGCCCCTGCGGGAGGGGGCGGCAGAGAGCCAGTGTTCAGCCCACTCACCTCCCAGCAGGGACAGTCGCCCAATGTGCTAAGTCAGGAGGGGTTTCCCTGAACAGTCTCTGTCTTCAGTGCTCCTTCGCTCTGGCACAGTCTGTCATCTTTCCTGCTGAGGCAGCACTCCCTCCTCCACACGCAGCTCCTCATCCACCGCCCCTCTGGGCTGTCCTCTGAGAAGGAGCAGGCGGCTCGCGGGCCTCAGTGCCCTCAGGCCGAGGGCCCAGGCCCAGATATTCCCAGCAGTGTGAAGGCAGGTGCTCCGGAGAGCAGAGGGGAGAGCCTCACTCCTCCTGGAGTCCTTGTGGTTCGAGTTCTTGGCACAAAGCAAAGCTCGCTCATCAGGCACCATGACCATCACCGTCAGCGCCCTCCGGGAGAGATGGGCGCGCTGTTCTCTCTGCTTTGTTCGATACAGAAACCATCCGCCACAGCGGCTCTGGGTTACCTGGACGGAGCACATGGCTGTGGACCGCAGTTACAGCCTGAGTCACTCCTGTGAGAGATGCTATAACTTCCCTCTAATCTTAGACTCCTGGCAAGATCTGCTGCTTTTAAATTAAACGGTCACGCCCTCCTTCGGCAGGCAGACGTTAGTACGCTCAGTCTGTAATCCCTGGGCACTTAGAAGCGGTGATTCCCGTTGTGGCCACCTCTGTATCAGAGGAAGGTGTTACCTTAAATGGCTACTATATCGCTTTTATGTTAATCAGCATTGGTGTTTGAAAGATGGTAATAAATATATATATATATGGAAATGAGCCCATTGTCATATATGCCAACGGCTCTTTCAGATGATGAGCTTCTTAGCTAATTTGGGGAGAAAGCTCACTTAAGTTTCTTAATAAATGGGACCATTTATGTTATGGAGACAAAGGATATAGTTGGCAAGGAGAGAAAGACACGACACGGCAATGATGAACATGAATGTAGTATGTTTTTACAATGTTAATAGGAAGTATTTCTGAATTTTAGCTTACCTTTTATGTGTCAGTGTTACGCATTGAAGTTTGGAGGGATATCACGTTCAAGATGGTTTCCCACCCCCTCCCCCACGTCCGCGCCCGGTTCTGTTCTTTCCTGGGATGTTTGTCACTGGCCGGGGGATGCCCGGGGGCTGACCTGCACAGAGTCGGCACCCTTGTCTCAGGCGTTCACCAGATTTATCAAAGTGGTATTGGGTGCAGCTAGCATTTTGTTGCACAATGATTGCCTGGTGACCTGGAAATGGCTGCGGCAGCCAGATCCTCCAGGTGACCCGTGACACTCACAGGAGAGGCGCTGACCGAGTTCAGCGACGGGGCCTCCTCACCGCTGGCTGCTCCACCGCCTGCAAGAGCTTCAAAACGCATGAGCCACAGCATGAGGAGTCTGCAGTGTTGCCGTCCTGAAGCCGGAAGCCAGTGTACCTCAGGCTCCCCTGTCAGATGCCCTCCGGTCATGTTGTTGGACTGACACCTTTCAGCGGTCATGCCCACTGACATCTCCGTGCCACAGCGGGTGGCGTCACTGTTGGTGACATGCAGGGGAACATTCTCCACCTCACCGACCCTCACAGGCTTCTTTGCTGGAAGTTTCCGCTGGTGGTAGATCAGGCCGGTCCCGAGCGCCATTCCTGAACGTCAGCATCCGCCTGCTGAGCTGGTGTGCGTGAGCCAAGTCCGAGGGACCTGCTGGACAGCGGGCGGCCGGCACATCAGAGGCTCTGACTGGGACCTGAGCCTCCTCCTCACAGCAGCCATGCACGGTGGCCCTGGGCACGGTGGCCCTAGGCCGGGCCTGCTGCTCCCTGGCCCGATGCCCAGGCCAGACAGACACGCAGGTTGGAACCCACAGAATAGCCTGCTGTGCCAGGGGGCAGCTCTGCCCGAGGAGCTGCCTGGTGAAGGTGTGGGGTTCTCTGCGGGAACAGGGAGGAGCCGGTGATCCCAACACGGGCCTGCACCACACGGGGCGGCCGGGCTGTGGGCCTGCGTGGCCTGGGGAAGCGGGGGGCAAGGGGCCCAGGTAGGGAGGGCTGCGTCCATGTCCTTCCATAGGGTGTTTCATGGCGGGACAGGAGGAGCCTGTCTGTGCCTGGGGGAGTGCTCCTCAGGAGGAGGAGGCAGAGCAGGGGAGAGGAGAGGCCCCTGGGGTGAGGAGGGATAGTGAGGTGGGGAGAGGGGAGCAGGGGGCGGCAGCAGAGGCCACGCTGTGGTTCCTGGATGTGAGACAGCAGGGCAGTGGGACCTGCAAGTCCGTCCAGCCCAGGCCTTGAGGGTGCTCTGATTTGGGGCTGAGATTCGGCATCAGAGCAGTTGGTGCAGGTTTGGGGCAGAAGAAACACCGTGTGTTTTACTACAAATGAAATACACAGGGTGGCAGGTGTCTGGATGGAGACGGGTCCGCGTGCTGGGAGCCACTATCGGCGTGCCTGGCCCAGGCGTGTCTGCGCAGGAGGGCCGCGGCTCGCTTCTCTTCCGCCCTCACAGGTTACCGCCCCAGCGTGTTACATGCTCAGAGATGCTGTGGGATGAGGGATCAGGTGAGTAAAGAAGGGAACAAGCACTTGGAACATAAATCATATGTAAAAGCCGGAGCAGTCCCTGCAGAGATGCCCTCGGCCGGGCCCAGAGGGGCGGCTGGAGGAACGCCTCGGTGTGCGCCCGAAGGAAGCCAGGGCGACGCAGTGACACCACCCAGTCTCTGCCGCCTTCAGCTCTGTGGATGATTGATGCGATTCCAGGGAATGTATTGTCATGGGACATCCATTTGTTTCTGATGACAGCTAATTCCATCTTGTCAAATTGTATCCCACCACTCATTTCAAAGTTATTTCTCCTCTTAGAGCATTCCTTAAATACATTCCATAGCTAAATATGTGACCCCTTTAAGTATATCTGTGCATCTTTAATAACTTGAAAATATTTATTATTTCAGTACTTTCCATGCAGTAGGTAAGGGTAAGCACTTGCCTGTGGAGTGTTCTAGTTTGTTGATGTGGTTAGGAAACACCAGAGATAAAAGCCGCTTCCCTCACCCTCGCCACCAGCGGTGCCTGGTGTGGCGTTGGGGTCCAGGTCACAGTCTTGCTCGGGTAACGCAGAGGCATGGCTCTCCAGGCCCCTCCGCACTGGACGTGGCTTTTCCAGGGCTCCCCGCAGGCTGCATGCCTGCCTGGGGCTCACAGGCCCGGGCCCCTCTGAGCCCGGAGGCCGGTGACTGCAGGGAGGGCCCCTCCTCCGCTCATTTCAGTCCAGCCAGTTCCGAGCCCACAGCCTGCGAGGAACCAGTACTTTCAGACATCTCCGTGGCTTTGGAGACTTAGATAGACACACTGGTTATCTGAGCAGCTGCCCCCTCGGGGAGGGGGAAGTGTGAGGTCAGACAGGCCTCGGCCAGTTCCTGCCGGGCCCGGGGAGGGGACCGTCCATTGCCTGGAAGAGCGAGTCCGGCCCGCTGCTGCAGGAGTGTGGTGTTTGTAAAAGATTTGTTCACGTCACACGCGAGCTGTGTCATTTATCCCACAGACGGCATCGCTGGCCCTCTTCCCCGCAGGCAGCCCATCCCTCTCACCAGCACAGACATTGCTCAGTATTTGGTGAAATACAGTGAACGTTGATTCTTTTTGTTTTATTTCTCCCATCACCACGGATCCCCTCTGTGCCCTCTGCCACCTCCACGCAACCACCCGCAGCCGCACGCTGCTGTCCACGCCGGGCTCTCTCTGATTCTTTCCCGATTCCACGTTCGGAAGCCTGTTGGACCAGAAAGAGTCTGCTCTGGCTTTGTAATCATTGAATTAAACGGGGTCGTGAGCAGGGGAGCCATTTTATGAGTCACTAAAGAAAACGTTCTAAAAGTCCTGAGAACCTTGCTGGTCGGAGAAGAAGCAGGAACACCCAGGAAACAGCAGTCGTCAGGAAAGCAGACGCCTGTCCCTGTGCAATGTTCCAAGTTTGCACACCAAATGCAGCATCTCATCGCAGTATAAACACAGTGAGCCCCACTTGTGTGGTGCTGACCTCAGATCCGGGAAACACTATGACTTAAGCACTGACTGTGGTTGTCCTATGGCTCTTGCTGGGGAATCAGGATAAGGAAGTGAAAAGAGAAGGCGGAGACGGCACACGTGGCTGAACAGGGTGTCTGTGAGGGGACAGGAGTAGCGCACACCCTCTTAGCTCCCGGAGCTTAAGGTCACGTCATGGAGGCTAAACACTGTTGAAAGTTAGGGTTAGGGTTAGGGTTAGGAGGAGATCTCCCTGAGAATATCTTTCCGAAGTCTCATTTTAAGACTCTCAGTCTACCACTGGCTCAGAGTGAGGTAGAGAGACAAGTATCTGAGCTGTGGGCTGGCGACTAGATCACTCAGGGAAAACCATGTGCCTTCTGCTTAGATTCAAACCGCAGGAAGTGGGCGGGTTCCTGCTTGGTTTCCCGGGCTCCCGTCCCGCCACAGAGGGCTCCCCCGGTCCCTCGGAGGCTAGGGAGGCTGGGTCAGTAACGAGGCCTGTTCTTGCAGCTGGATGAAGAGGCCCCGCTGCGGGGTGCCTGACCAGACCAGCGGCAGCTCCCGGTTCAGCGTCCGCCGGAAGCGATATGCACTCACGGGCCAGAAGTGGCAGCACAAGCACATCACCTACAGGTACGGCCGCCGGCCCGTCCCGCGTCGCAGCGCTCCGTTAGGTGTCAGTGCTCGCGCTGACCACGGGACGGTTGTGAACAGTGAGCAGGAAGCCTCCCGGAGAGGCACGGCTTGCCTGTGGGGCCCACGGCTCCGCAGTGACTGCACACACACACACACACACACACACACACACACACACACACACACGCTCCGCGCCCCGGAGGCACAGCCGTGTTCCGAGGGCTGTGGATGCCTCCTGGACACATGGCTTCTTCCCCTGGAGCTCATGGTCCTAAAGCCTAAGGCACCCACAGGTGTTGCCATGCGGACAACATGTCTGAACAGCTGATTGGCTCCCAGTGTCCGGTGAGGGCAAAGCTGCGGCCAGTGCAGCCCCTCTTAGGAAGCCGCCTGCCGGTGTAGGTGGCTGCATGGTCGCCTCCTCCCCACCGGGAGGGGAGTCCGGGCTCACCCCCCGCCGGGCGCTGTGGGTGCTCCTGTGACACTCCAGCAGGCGTGCAGTGGGTCACGTTGTTTAGCGTGCAGCTCCTACTGACACCCTCTTCCTGTGCTGGCTGGCCAGCTGAACGCCTTCTCTGGCGAGGGGTCTGTCAGGTCTCCCGACAGGAGGGGAGGTGTCAGTGAGGCTGACCCCGAGGAGGCTGAGCTGACTGCTGGGGTTACAACCCCTGCGCCCTCCTCCCCTCTCCTTCCGCAGGGCTGCCAGCTAGCGAGGCAGGCCACCCAGTCTCCAGCTGAGACAGGGCCTTGTCTAATTCTTTTCTTGCTGTTCTATCAGCTTCAGCCTCTTGTGCTTGGCTGTTGTGTGGCTGAGCACATAAACATTAAGCTTTGCGATGTCTTTATCATCCTGCGCACTCTGTCCCTGGTAATGTTCCTTGCTCTGCAGTCAGCTTTGTCTGCAACTAAGGTCGTTGTTACAGGTTTATTTTGGTTAGTGTAGTGTGGTGTATGCTCATCCCTGTACTTTTACTCTTGAAGTATCGTTATATTTAAGGTTGGTTTCTTATTGGCAGCATGCCATTGCTGTTAGCTTCTTAATCCTCTCTCTCTTCCTTGGTATATAGTGACCATTCCCATTTCACGTGCTCATCGATATAGTTGAATTGGGATCTGCTGTATTTATAACTATCTGCTGCCTACTGCTGGTGTTCTTTGTGTTCTTTTGTCTTCCCTTTTCTGCCTTCTGTGCTTTTAATGAACATTTTATACATTTCTGTTTTCTATTACATGTCAACCATGCTCTTGAAACTTAGGTCAGTGCAGTCCTGCCGTGTGGGTCCGTGGTTGGAGCTTCGTCCTGTACACCACAAGGCTGCTGCTGCCCCCTCCTTCCCCCGGAGCTCAGTGCTCGGCACACGTGGCTCCTTTTGCCATTGGAATCCCCCTCATCACGTACTCACCTGCCTCATTGGCCCTCACCACCATGTCTGTGATTGTCTGACTTTGTTGTTCTGTTTATTGTTTCTCATCACGACAATATAGACATGCTGAAGAGCCTCTTCCAGCTCCTTCTCTTGTCCAGAGCAGTGATCCTGGATACAGGTTACGTAAACAGCTGGGTCATCGCGGGGAGTCGGATATTCATGGGCAGTGAGGCAGGAGGCAGGACTCGCTGGGCGTGCATCCTCTCAGAAGTGTCGCAAGCGCTGGCCTGAGCATGGGGTGCTGCGATCGCTTGGTGTGGGAGGACATGAAAGACCACTAGGAAGGCGAACCTGAGAAAAGCCGCAGTTCCCGCATGAACCGTGTGCCTCTTCAGCCATCACACAGGAGATCCGGGGTGGCAAGCTGACGAAGGTCGGCGGTGCCCAGCGTCCGCAGCCCCCTTCCCAATGGAGTTTAGAACATCACACAGACGGGCTAAAGCAATAATAATAATAATAATAATAATAATGTAAACAGTATCAAATCAGCCCACAGGAAATGCTGCACCCTCTCTCCCTGGGGAAGGAGCTCTCTCGCGCCACCATCCTTTGGCTCAGGTGGACAACACGGCGACTCCCTGGCACTCACTTCTCTACACCCGTGTCTGACAGTTAGTGCATCTTGGCAGCGGTGTCCCCACAGTGTGTCCCAAATCCAAGCATTTCTCAGTGTCCCCTCTGGGTCCCGGCCCCAAGCTGACCCCGTGGTGTCTGCTTCCACTCTCACTGCCTGAGAATATGTTACTTTCCAATGATGACCATGCTGTTTATTTAGCCTGTAGTCCAGTGTTCCTTCTCTGCTCACAAGCTCCACCTAAGGTGTTCCCCTCTCCTCTGGAGCGAAAGTCAGGCCCATAGGCCCTGCCTTGTCTTCATGCTGTCCCTTCTGGCCCCTGGCCCGACACCGCCCCCTGCTGGCCAGGCTGCGTGTCACTGTTCTGCTTGCTGTTCCTTGAACTCCCCAGGCCCAGCTGTCCCCACCTTGGTCTTCACTTGTCATCTCTCCTCCCAGGAACTCCATGCCTACTCTTTTCCATGTGTTTCCTTCCTCATTTTATTAATATATAAGAATATATACCATCTGGGCATAGTGACAATAGGGTTAAAAATATAGTTTGCATATAATTTTTCTACTGGGAAATGTATCTGAACTATTTTTTCATGTTGCCAAATGCCTTAAAAAGACAAAACTACTTTTAAGTTCTGTATATATTTTGATATGCAATGGAGACACCATCATTTAACTATTGCTCCATTATCACAAATCATTTATATCCCACTTCTTTTATTATTGCATTACAATATATGTTAACTTGATCATTATATTTTCCTTTGTATATTAGGAGAGTTCCTTGGTGAGATTTCATGGGTTCGTGGCTGTAAGATTGTTGGTTGAAGGGGTCTGAGATTTAGTTATGCTTCTTCTGGAAATTACTCATTGCTTTCCACAAAAATGATATAAACTTATACTACAACAATATAAAATATGTTTCATTTTTTCATTCATGTTCTATTTAGAAAAATATAAAAAGAACTGAGAAAAGAGAAATATCTGATTAGTGCAAAGTAAATTGAGAAAATATTTATAATTTTTATCTTTGTTATTAGCATCAAGACAAATAAACAAATTAAATAATGCCCAAGTTACTTCTTTAAATGTATATAATTGTTAAATATTTGTAGTTAAAAGCTGTTCACTCACATTGCCTATTTTAGCTAGAACAGATTATATATGTAATAAGAAAACAATAGAACATCAGAAACAGTAGTTAATTGATCTTTTCTTTTAAAGCTGAGAAATGTCTGTCTGAGAACTGGTGGCCACGGGGTGCAGAGGCTGCCGAGGATGGCAGGGCCCCCAGCCCTGCGCCCGGGCGTCATCACCCGGGAAGAAGCTGGGCTTTGCTTTCAGCTCAGAGAGCAGCACCTCCCACCCTCAGCAGCGCCTCCCCAGCGGGGCCTGGAGGCCCAGCACCTGTGGGTCCAGGGGCCCTGCCGCCCCACACTCCGCAGGACCCCCGCTCCCACCGGGTGGAGGATGGGGCCCAGGAGACCACGCGGCCTGTGTAGTGAGCTCAGCTACGGACGCGTAGATTTTGGTTCATCTCTCCTCTTCGCTATTTTACTCACTGAATAGATCAAATGCTCTAAGTCGGGCCATTTGGAACATAGCCATGGGCTTTCTTCTTTTCTCTCCGTTTCAGTATAAAGAACGTAACTCCGAAAGTGGGGGACCCGGAGACACGCAGAGCTATCCGCCGTGCCTTCGACGTGTGGCAGAACGTGACTCCCCTGACATTCGAGGAAGTGCCCTACAGCGAGTTAGAAAACGGCAAGCGAGACGTGGATATAACCATCATTTTCGCATCTGGTTTCCATGGAGACAGCTCTCCCTTTGATGGAGAGGGAGGGTTTTTGGCACATGCCTACTTCCCTGGACCAGGAATTGGGGGAGACACTCATTTTGACTCTGATGAGCCATGGACACTAGGAAATCCGAATCACGATGGTAAGCACATCATTATTTTCATAGCAAACACCTCTCTCATTTTTAGTTCTGGAATGCCCAAGTAATTGACAGACTTGAGGTATTGATTCTGAATTAGTTTTAAAAGTTATAAAACAATGTGTGAGGCTTTTCATAACGTGTAGAATAGAGTTTTTATGGCCGCTGGGTAATGGTGGTTTCCACGTGGCCTCCACTGGCAGTGAGCGGCCTGGTTTGTCAGTGTCTCTTAGGAGACTTCCCAGTGTCGCTTCCCACATGCCATCCCAGTGTTTGTACTGGACACCGAGCCCTGACTGACATTTTCTTTTCTTTTTTTATTTATTTTCTTTCCTGTCTTCACCTTTCTACTCTGTAAATTTTGCCATTTTCTTCTCTGACCCATTTCCTATGGTTTCCCAATGTAATACAACTACAAAAGTTGTTATTTTGTATTATATCCTTCTTCATTTTTATGAAAAACCACTTTCTTGCCAATTTATCTTGACACATCGATCAGTTTTCTAATCTTATGATTAGTCAATATGCAAAAATACTGTAAAAATAAAAACCTCAGTGCTATGTAAAAGAATAGTTACTTCAAATATGGAAGCATGGGTTTCTTCCCAGACAACAATCCATCTTCAATTTTATGTTTAAAAAACATCATGGAATTTGAAGGTCCTGGGGTTCAGCCATCTCTCCAGTCCCTGCAAACAAGAATGACCTCTCTTCTTTCCCCCACGTGGTGGAACGCTGTAGAAAATACAAGCATGCATTGTTTTCATAACAACTAAGCAGCTAGTAACACTCTTACTTCCTCTTTGATGAGGTAAGCCCATCAAAGGGGTTGTTAGTTCATTAGGAGGTTTGGTTAGCTGGATAATACTGTGAGCTTTTAGAACATGCAGTATTCAAACACTGTATAGGACTTTAGGATGCATTAGGTCACGTTAAACTTAAAATAGCGTCCAATTCCAAAGAGAGAACATGTAATAACTATTCATGTTTTACCCCAAAAATATCTAGTCCTACTCAAAATCATGTTTTGAATTATTATCAATTGGAGTATTGGCTATAATATGAAATTACGGTTTCGTTGTTAAGAACTGGTTGGAGACGAATGATGAAGATGGTGGGAAACATGCAGTAGAATGGAAAGCAGGGACTTCGGGCTCAGACTGTCGGACATTTGCTCCCGGCTCCCTCGCTGGCCCAGGAGCCTGCCCCGCACCGCTCCCTGCTTCTGTGTCCGGGCGAGCTCTGTGGGCCTGAGCGACCTCTTTGAGCCGCTGGCGATGCAGCCCGCAACGTGGGAGCTGGCCTGGGTCTACTTTATTTTTATCAAAATCCCACAAGCAGTCCAATGGACTGGTTCAGATGTCTCAGTTGTTAAAATTAGTTTACAGAATGACAGAAACGTTTGCATCCTACCTGTCTGAGAAAAACAGCAGTTACATTAGAGTTTTGCTGAGATGTCAAAACTGCATGTGTCTCCAAGGGAGAGACTTTCTTAAAAAATTCTGAACAGAGAAAACTGTTTCATTCCAGTGAAGAAGCTGCTGGGTGGAAGTGGTGTTCCGGAGGCGCCGCTGGAGTAAACATTCCCAGACCCCCCCCCCCCCCTCCCAAGGAGTTTGGGTGAAAGCTTTGTGTTTGTGGAATCACATCCCTGGCTTCCAGAGTCCACTTCTCTCCATCCAGTCTCGGAAGAAGCGGAGCTGGGGCTGCGATCCAGCCAGGGTCCAGCTTCCCTTCCAGGCTGAGCTGGATCCAGGCGTATAGCTAGTCACCAGTCCACTGTGTGACCACAGGGCCCTGGCCACATGGGAGAATGAGCAACTAGAGTCCCCGGGTCTCAAAAGCACAGGAGATGGAATTCCTTTGCTCAGGGGTTCAGTGTCCCAGATTTCTCAGCACTTGTGATGGCCACGCCTGTCTGGCCACCCACCTCTGTCCCCGGGTACAGTTGACAGCAAGTACCTCCTGCAGCCCCCAGCGTTCCTGGGCAGGGCCCGCTCCCTCTGTGGTCCCGGGGAGTGTGAAGTGCAGCTCTCTGCTACAGCTCCCAGATGGTCCCTGTGCTTCTCTCCGGTCAGCAATGGCTCCTCAGTCACATGGGGCCAGGCCTCACACAGCTGCTTACATTTGTATCTCTGGAGTTTTATTAATTTGGCTTTGTGGCCTCATACATTTAAAATTATTTTTAAAATCTTCTCTGAAAGAGATGGTGCCTGCCAAAGACCCCTAGGTTCTTTTAAAACACTGGAATAAGAAAGCTGCAGAAATCCTCTAGATGTAGCCTTTCTCAGCAGTTTTCTCAGGTATCAGACGATATTTAAAAAAAAAAGGAAGTTTTAAGAAAAAACGATGGGGACATTTGAGATGCCGTAGGAAACGGGACTGTTGGCACGAGCTGGGTGGGATCGGTGCTCCCATGCTCACGTGCTCCGTGTGACGGGGTTTCCTGGGTGCACGGGTGGGGAGTCCGAAGCTGAGCTGAGATGCCCGGCGTGGCCAGCGGTGCCGACTCAGTCCGTATTAACACATCCCGTTGCCTCTGAGCTTATACTGCCCATGTATAGCAATGTTCGTAAGTAGGCCTGTTATTGAAGTCCGAAACAAAGCAATGACTTAAAATTTAGTGTTATAATTTGGAGAAAAATATTGTTTTACTGGTCAAATAGGAATATTTTTTTCTTGTGAGTTTAAAGGAAATGCCTCTGCAAAATAATAGTGTTTTGCGTTGCAGGATTAGGAGGCAGTTAACTGACTGTTCAAGAGGTAATCCATCCAGATAGATGCTAATCACCTGACACCAGCGGCAGGAGCGAGGTCTGGGATGCCGGTTGTGTATCAGAGGGAGGGCTGCCGCTGGCTCAGTGTGGGTCCTGGAGAGTGTGCGGATTCCAGCTCTAAGATTGTCTTTGAATCACAAAAATAGGAGGCAGGATTCTGATGTCTTCACTGATAAACATCTCTTCCGGTAGTCCCGTGCTCCTGGCTTACTTCCCTGGAACATAGATTTCTCTCCTGTCACTGCATCTAAGCACTTGTCTTAGAAAGCAGACAGCCAGCAATTTAGTGGAAATGCAAATGGGAGAGCCTCTGGGTAAGTGCAGGCTCATTTCCACGGTGTATTGTTCAGCTAATGACAGCAATTTGAGTTCTATCAACCTCAAAGGAGATAAACAGTGTTGTAAGCTAACTCTTCATTCATTGTTTTCCACCTTACCATCAATTTGCTCATAGTCATGATACCTCTTGAAAACCCAACCTAAAACCCACTAAGTAAATTATGTAATTGTTACGTTAAAAATCCTATATAATAAAGAGGTAATATGCAAACTGACCATAACACCCTCACAAGATGGCTGCCTAAGATCAGGCCAGCAGGGGGATTAGTTAGGAACGACCAAACAACTAAATAAACAGGTTGTGTGGGGCAACCATGCTGGCGGGGTGGGGGTGGGGGGGCAGTAAGGGGTGACCAGGCCAGCAGGGGCAGGGGCAGAGGCAATTAGGAGCAACCAGGCTGGCAGGGAGGGGGCAGTTGGGGGCAACCTAGCCAGCAGCAGGGGGCAATAGGGGCAACCAGGCTGGCAGGGGAGGCAGTTAGGAGCAATCAGACTATCAGGTTGGAGGGGGGCAGTTAGGGGCAACCAGGCATGTACGCAGGTGAGCTATTAGGAGTCAGTAGTCCAGAATTGTGAGAGGGATGTCCCTGGAAGGGTCCCGGATTAAAGAGGGTGCAGGCTGGGTTGAGGGGGATTCCCTCCCACACACACACACAAATTTCATGCACTAGGCCTTTAGTAAATAAATAAACACACACACAGTCCTACTAAAAATGCCTTTTCTAAAAGAGATTTGGGTGTTGTTGTTTTTTAACCATTTATGGTGTGGATAAGCAAAGTAGGCACAGTAATTCCCAGTAAAAAAATGTTACTGTGATTTGATTTTTTAAAAGTATCCATTGCCTGAATGTGAGATGGAAATTTTACCTCTGGCGAAATGTTAAGATTCCTTCTGCGAGTCATTATCATATTGTTTCCTTGGTGACAGTATGAAGTTTAAAGGGCACTATCCATGTAAACAGGCTTGTCACAAAGCCCCTTCCTAATCAGACAGGCATCTCCCCATCCTAGGACCTCACATGGGTAATTCTCAGCAGAAGGCTCCCCATGGAGATGACGTAGAATTGTGACAGCGAAGCGTCTGGAGGCAGATCTGATTGTACTGTGTTGCAGTTCTAGTGACAAGAAGAATGCATGCCTTCGGCTGTGCTTCTTGTCAGAAAAGTCCCTGCCAAAGACGTGTTCTGATGGTGTCTGTTTAAACCCAGGAAAAGAGAAATGATGATCTGGATTTCCTCTGAGCTGTTAAAGCACGTGAATCTACTACCTTGTGTGATGTTTGTAACTGGGCTGGACTAAGGGGTGCCCTGGTACCTGGTAAATACCTCTGGGTGTGTCTGTGTGGGTCTCTGGGAGAGATTCCCATTTGAATCAGGAGACCAGGAGACAGAATAAAGAAGATTGACCCTGGCCAATGAGGGCCATCAGCCTGCCAGCGGGGAGGGGGGGAGTGGGCATTGAAAATCAAGAGAGAGGACAAGAGTGTCACCTCTCTCTTTTTTTTTTTTAATTGATTGAGAGATGGGGGTATCTATTTATCATTCCACTTATTTATGCATTCATTGGTTGATTGCATAAATAACCAGGGAATAGAAATGGCAACCTTTTGGTGCACAGGACAATGTTCCAACTGGCTGAGCCACCTGGCCAGGGCTGAAACTTTATTTTCAAATTGCCAGAGCACCCTCCTCCCCAGCGGGTGAGACCTGTCAGCAGGAGCAGCCCTGTGCAGCCCGTGGACTGCAGCTGCCAGCAATGGACACCCCGGAGAACAGGAGCCTCGGCCTGGGGCGGCCCCGCCTGTGAGCCCTGTGCTTCCAGAAGCGTGTCCTGGCCGGAAGCAGGCCTGAGAGAGTGGCCCCTCAGCCTGCTCTCCAACTTTTCATT